AAAAAAAAAAATATATATATATATATATATATATATATATATATATATATATATTCACTATAGGGAAATCTATACTAATGTTTCATGAATTCAACGGTGTGTCGCTGTATATAGGAATGACTTTTCTGTATGAATATATTTATAAATTTATTTATGAATTTATTAATTCGATATTCTATCGCTAAAAATATTCGATAACACAGGAACATTAGCTCCAGAATATTCAATAACAGAGGAACTTAGCAGTCGTATTAAGAATCAATATCGTCAGCTGTGTTTACATTTTAGCTGGCGTTTGGCGAACACAGCAGTACAGAGCAAGGAGCGATACCGGGAAAACAATACCGTCCCGAGGAGATCCCGGCTAAAAGAAATGGCGTGCTAATCAAGGCCGCGAGCACATCATCGTTGGCCAAGGTGTTTCGAGACAATGTCAACAATAAGAGCTGTCGACGCCTGATTGGTAAAGATCTGGGATTCTAGCCGAGGAGAGAAGCGACGAAGAGGGATCGTCAAAGGATTCGAAATCCGAGAGGAACGGCCGATCCAGTAGTTTAACTGCAACCGTTCCGACGGGAAGACCAGCCGTGAAATTACCGCCGTGATCGAGTCGCGAATCTATCGAGAGCGAAGGAACGAGTAGACGGACGAGTGCGTTAGCAGGAAAGCGAAGACCGCACCGAGACCGGCCATCTGCAGGGCGAAGCCTCTGATACGGTAAGACCTTCCATTTATTTCAACGATTTTTGCGTACGCGCTTTTTAGTATTGGAAGTACAGCAGTTTCAGCCAAATAGGCGTTGCTATTGTTCTTATCTATATAAAATAAAATTTATAATTCAATTAATAACAATCAACAATAAAAAAAATTTTACTGTAAAAAGTTAAAAATAACGAAATGGAAGTGCAGGATTTTATAGATCTCACCTATCTAAGGGTTAAATTAACAATAAAAGTACGAAAAATATAATTTTTATTAAAATTATAATGTGCTTCCCGCTTAAATATCTTATATTTTGTCTTTATATATATATAATTTATGTACTGTTTCTTCTACTATTCGTTTTATATGCCAATTTTAACTTTTTTTTTTACAAAAGTAACGGAAAGTAACGATTTTTTTATTGTTACTTTTCAAATAACGGTAACGCGTTACTTTTTAGAATCAGTAACGAGTAACGGTAACGAGTTACTTTTTACCGCAAGTAACGGTAACGGTAACGTGTTACTTTTAAAAAGTAACGTTCCCAACCCTGAATTTAATGTATTGTGACACTTTCTGACTGACATGCTGTAACTTTACATTGTTACACAAACTTTTCGAACATCTTAGTGATCTAAAATAAATTGTATTTTACCACATGGATGGATCACTAATGTGTACAAGTTTAATGTGTAATAATATGAAGTTGTAGCATGCCACTCAGAATATGTTACAACATAATATATTATCAGATAACTTTATTTTAACTGTTATATGAATTTTAAAATATCATTTTCTATATTTTATTGTTACCGCAGCCTTTGAAAAGTACAAACAATATTGAAATATTACTGTATTTCTTGCAATAATCAATATATTACTGTAAAACTAACATAATATGTAACTTATTCTTTAACGTCTGTTTCTTCATAATTCCATCGCGTTAATTGTCAATTTTATCTATTGATTATTAGAGAAAAGATAGAATTTGTTCTGAATGTATTATTCAGCAAAGCGTTCATTTTCTGGACATATCTGTTCATTTCAACGTATTTGCAGAGATTTGTACTTTAGTGTGTCAAATAAGATTTTCGCAAAATTTTCCTTAGGAAATCTCATTATTTTTTATATAATATTTGTGATCAAATTTTCGATTATAATTTTCGTGCTTAAGATATTTGACTCGGAAGACGAATCGACCTAGAAATTCCAGATAAGTTTACACGGTCGCGTTGTTTTATTTGATACGTACTCGGCGTCGCGCTGCGACCGCGGCGCTTAATATAGTTGATCTTCGCATTGGAGTAAACAGACTTAGCACTCTTTTTACTTCGCGTAACCATAACGATCTTTTCGTATCCCGTCGTTGTCACCAAAATTTTATGTTACGTCTCGGTCGACCGCGGCTGCGCAAATGGAGTGCAGTGTTTGGGCCCTGCCGAAACCAGATCACCTTTTTAGGGTACAAACGAATCTACACAATTCTTTCTCCAGGGATACACGCGATCTTCGATTCATGGAAGACTATGCTGCGAAATAAAATTTCGGAGGTATGTGACCGATGTCACCTACGAGATTAGTTACCGCAGCACAGTAAATAAAACTTCTGGCCTCCATATCCAGTAGTTTAAAGTGTCGTATTGATAGTCTGTGTGCAGCTTTGCTCATCCGTTCTGCTCATACAATGACGTTCTTAAAAGCTTATCGATTATCAACAACAACGGTAATTTGTTTTCGAAATAATACAATGAAAATATTTGCGAAGTGTACAATGGAATATTCTTAGCTTGTCCACTACTAATCACCTAATATTCACGTTGATTTGTGAATTGCTAGAAAATGAACACTACCAGAAATGAAAGCGACAGAATTTTTGTGGTCATGTATTCAAGCTAGCATAATAACCGCATAACGCACGAAGTATAATATTTTAATATAATGTAACACAAGAATTATTATATTTTAATGTTTACCATATGACGTAAATTATACATATTTTGCAAAATTGTAAGATCAGGCCAATGAGCTGTTGTACTCTAACTGGAATGAACGTGGTTGTTGTTCTCAGATTACGTGA